TGGTCATCTATCTCCATGGATTTTATTACAGATCTTCCACCATCAAGCTTATTTGACACTATCTTTGTAGTTGTTGATTGATTGACTAAGATGACACATTTTATATCTTGCAAGAAGTCAATTACTGGTAAAGAAATGACAAGTTTCTTTATTGACAATGTCTATTATTACCATGGTGTCATGTTGTAACACGACTATATGGTGAAAGATGATAATATGGATCTTATTATAGAAGAGCCAAGTTAAAAGAAAAAGTAGAAAAATATGGATAAAAGATAGGAAGGTAGTAAAACTTTTAATAGTAATGCTGCCCTTTTAGAAAAAATAGCTTCTACTTACTTTGTAGGGCCAAAAATAAGAAAAAATAAGGTAGATTGGAAAAGTAAATGATATAGACATCTTAAGGAGGAGGTTAAGAGTAAATTCTAATAAAAATTACTTAAAAAAACTAGATGTTGATACCCAGAGAGGGCCGGTTATGAACTAGGATCGAAATCAAACCCTGACACACAAAACCGAGTCTCAAGGACGACTCCGGGATTCTTTAGCAGATCAAAGAGTAGGGTTTGATAGAAGATTGGATAAGGTTTCTATAGACATTGATTTTGGATGATTTAGAGTTAATATGACTTTGTAAGAGCTTTGCAAAGTCAAGATTTGTTTCAGATGACTTGGATTTTATGAAATAAAATATGGTTTATATTTTGGATGATTTAAAGAGTTTTGTAATAGATCTACGGATGAAATTTTTTAGATTTATGATCATAGTTGTGTTTAATATGTGTCATAAATTTGAGCTCGATCTAACGGTTGAATTGAGGAATATTGAGATTTAAGTGGGTCAAGGTCTTAGAAAGTAGAATTTCAGGTCTAGTGAGAGTTTTTAAGATTTCTTGCAATCCACTAGTTGGATTGGAGTGAAACTTACGTGAAAAGATATTAGACTTGTTTTTCTATATGTATGAGAATTTTGAGATCAATCGAACGATGCAAAAGAGAGATATTGGCTCTAGAAGATTGACATCAAGATTAGAGAAGGAGGCCGGCCAATACTCGAGCACATTTTTTGAGCTTATCATCAAATTAGTAACTCCGATCCTTCTCAATTTTTTTTTACTTGTTATTAACTTATGTTTTTAAAAGTTTGAAAAATTTGAGTTAAGATCGACGGTTTATTCATTAGTTATTGAGGTTTAATTCTATTATAGGAATTACTAGGATTTGATTTAGGATTTAGGATTTTATTAGGGTTTGGTTTAGGATTTAGGGTTTGGATTAGAATTTGGTTTAGGATTTGTTTAGGGTTTTATTTATAGTTTAGGATTTGATTTAGAATTTGGTTAAGATTTGGTTTAGGATTTAGGGTTTATATTAGGATTTGGTGAAGGTTTGATTTAGGATTTAGGATTTGGTTTAGGATTTGGTTACGGTTTGATTTAGGATTTGGTTTAGGATTTGGTTGGAGTTTGGTTTAAGATTTGTTTAGGGTATGATTCACAGTTTAGGATTTTATTAAGATTTAAGATTCAATTAGTTTTGGCCTAAAGTTTGAATGAAGTTCAATAGGATTTTAACTAGAATTAAATTAAGATTGAATTGAGATGTATTTGAGTAATATTTGTAATCCTTCTAATATTTCTTTAGGAATTCTTATTTTTTTTTTGAAATTTCTTTGAGATTTTTTTGAATTTGATTATGCTTGCTTAGTATTATTATGGTCTAATTAGAGCATTATTAGTATTCTATTAGAATTAGGATTTTGTTATTGTAATTTCCATTCTTTCTTCCATAGCTAGGTGCCCAAAGCATTCTCAAGCAAGACTTCACATATTACGACAACGGGTTGCCAAACGACATGTGTGAGATTGTAGGCCACAATTTGCATCAAGATTTTGGAAGGCTCTCTTCAAGATTCTTAAGATTGACTTCAATCTTTCTTCTACCTTCTACCCTCAAACTAATGGCCAAACGGACCAGATCAACCAAATTCTTGAGCAATATTTGAGGTGTACCATTAACTATTAATAAGATGACTGGACTTTCTATTTGTCATTGGCAGAGTTTACATATAATAACACAATCCATGCATCTATGCAACAAACACCATTCTACTCAAACTATAGTCATCATCTATACCATTCTACTCAAACTATACGTAAATCTAGCAGTAGAGGAGTTTGCTACAAAGATGGCCAAACTTCAAGCAATCATGAAGACTCACCTAGAAATGACTCAATAAAGTTATAAGCTATTGGCAGATAAATTGACAAAGGAACATCCTCCATTCCAGGTTGGTGACAAAAAGTAGCTTCTTTGGCACAATATAAAAATCAATAGACCATGTAATAAGTTGAACAATCAAAAATTGAGACCATTTGTGATTCAAATCAATAATGTAACTTATTGCTTGGAGTTACATTTATCCATGAAGATTCATTTAGTCTTTCATGTTTCACTTTTGAAAAGGTATCAAGAATCGAACATACCAGGTCAAAGATGAGTACAACCTCTTATGGTCGAAATCAATGATTATGTTGAATTTGAGATAGAAGAGGTATTAGATTCAAGGATAAGACATAGAAGGCTTCAATATTTGGTCCATTGGCATGGATATGATATCAATGATTGTATATGGGAATCAATTGGCAACCTTGTAAATGCACAAATAAAGATTCAAAAGTTCCATTAATGATATCCATCTAGACCAAAAGTGACAAAATGAAGAACAATAGTTTGATAAGATGGCTTCACAATGAAGATTCTTAATTCTTGGCCTCATAAAAAAGGAGAAGAGAGAGCCTTTGAAGATGTAGTTTTTTGAAATGTTTAGAACAGTATAAGTTAGTAGTTCAAGTTTACAACAATAGGTTGTTTATATTCTTTTGGTCTTATCTACTTTATATGATATGGATAGATACCTTGCAGGTCATACCATCTCAACCAAGTAACTTGCAAAGACAATTTCAAAATAAAGAGCTGCATGAACCATGAAGACATCAAAAGATATTTAGTAACAGGTCACTAGTAATTGTGTTTGAAGTAGAACCTGCCTATGAAGGACTTCTAGAAGGAGATTTGTAGGACAATTCTATAACGAAGATACCAAAGTTCATGCTTGATCAGAAGTAGAAGACTTAGGGTACTATAGATGGCTTCAGGGGCCTATGAATCATTTGCCTTGCAAAAAATAACTAGAATATATAATAGACACCATGTATCAGATCTTCAATTTGTTGCATACATATTAACTTGCAGCAACATTGCTTCTCGAAGACTTTGAAGCTAGAAGAGGAAGTGATGTCTCAGACATACAACTGAAGAAGGTTTGAGAAGATTTTAAGAGATTTTAGAATATTCTAAAAAAATTCTTGCAGATCTTAGAAGGTTCTAGAAGGTTCTTGTAGATTCTAAAAAAGTTCTAGAAGGTCATAAGAGATCCTAGAAGATTGTAGGAGACTTTAGATGATTTAGGAAGTTGCCAAAGAAGGATCTTAGTCTTGCTTTGTTTCCAAGCTTCATAGAAACTTCTCAAGAAGTTTCTTAGGACCTAGTATACATAAGAGTCGAGGCTGAGAGGATCCTCAATGTCAACAATTCACTTCTTGTGATTTAGCGAAGATCTGCTTGCCTTGTATCTAATTATTGTTCTAATGTCGAACTAATTCCATTTATTTTGCTTGAATCTTTGTCTTGTATATGGTCCCTAAGAAGTGGAGCTTTCCATCCTCTCTCATATGTGATAGTATAGCTCTTAATACAAAGTCAAAAGCATTAGTTTCCAAATAAAGAACTTTTATAAAACATGAATGCATTGAAATTAGAATTGTTGTAAAAGTTGCCTTCAAATTTGGAATAGAAGAGTTTCAACAAGAAAGCTAGCATAAACTTGATTAAATTAGATGAGTATAAGATCAACACCAAGAGAGGTGAGATAAAGCTCCAAGAAATATGTTGTTGAGATTGAGGATTCTCTTTGCCTCAACTTCAATATACATTAGATATTTAAAATCTTCTCGAGAAGTTTTTATATTGCTTGGAGACAAAGCAATTCTAAAATCCTTCTTAGACAACTTCTTTAATCTGTATAGAATTATTTAGAATGTGCTCAGATATTTTTAGAACCTTTTAGAATATTCTAATTTTTTTCTAAAATCTTTTACTAGAATATTCTAAAAATCTTCTAAAACTTTCTATTCTAATAGAATATTCTAAAAATATTTCTAAAATATTCTCATTAGATGTCCATAACAATCTAAACATAGAAAGGTTATTGATTGAAAATGGCTACATAAAGTACTTAAGAATCTAAAATTTGAAGTGTAATAGAGCATAGATGTAGTATTGATTAAGATTACTCAAATGATATTTTGAAAAGCTTAAATTTGACACATCATAATAATTCATATTAAACTAGTTGGAATCAATCAAAAAATAAATTTAATATCTTAAAAATTATCAAAATATACACATATATAACATTATGCACCCATCTTAGTCAATTTTAACCATTTAGATTTACATGTTTTAAAATCTTTAAAACTTGAATAAATAAAGATTCTAATACATTAATTAAAAAAAATTAAGAAAAAAAGAAAAAAACAATATATAATAAAAATAAAAAACTTACAAAATTATAATGCATATTTATCTATAATTGATTACAAAAAGATTACTATGAGAATTTTAAAATTAGAATATAGTAATTAGAATATAGTAAAATTAGAATATAGTAATATAGAATGCTCTACTTCTCTGAGCTGTAGGTCTTATTTTTCATATAAGGAAAACTTACCAAATCAAAAATAACTCTTCACCATTCGTTTGTCTTCTTCATTATGTCTTGAATAGGTCTTTTACAAATACTACCTTGGAATGGATTAAGCTCTTGTAAAAAAACCATTTGTTTTATTAGTTTTAAATTAATATAAAAAATGCTTTTGATTATGTAGAGCTTTATGTAAATGGTATATAATATGTAATTTACATGTTTCCAAGAGTGATTAGTTCTTAATTTATGTAGATTTAATATATTACTAAGAGGATTACATATCAAAGCAAATTTTGTGGAGACCAAGCTTCCAAGTGCCAATAGCATTTTCCAGACACACAGCACATGATAGTAAATAGTATCATTAGTTCAGCTCTACACTCTGCACGCATGCACAGCTCAACCACTAGCTAACCTGCCTTGAACCATCCGTGTTCACCTTCAACCACTCCACACAAATATCTCTCAGAATGATCAACCGGTGCGCAGAATGATGTGAGAACCGCTGTCGGTGTCAATTATGTCACTGAGCTCCCCTACGTTGAGGTTAAATGTGGCTCTCTCGAATGGCTCCTGCATCTGACCACGACCAAACCATCCTGCATCACTCACATCAAGGCGAAGTTAAGAAAGTGTGTGCAGAGCACTTAGATCTACGTGAAACAATCACATTATTTACTCGCAATTACGGCAAGAGATGTGGAAATGAAGCTTTGAGCGACACTACACAGAAAAGCGACTTGAACATTCCACTGGTGGATAGGGGATACAAGGCCAGTCACGGAAGAGACTGCACAAAAGCGAGGACTTGAAATATCTGTGAAAATCAAAGTAATATGAAGAAGAATTCCGGACCCCAGTTGATACATGAGCGCAATACAGAAACAAACAAAATAAATAAATAAAACAAAAATCTGGAGCGATTGCGATAAAATTAAATCCTGAGGGATAAACAAGCAAGGACAATGAAAGAGAAAAATCTGCAGAAAAATCACTCTGAAAAGTTGAATCGCTAACAAGTCCCATCCCTTGATAAATGCAGAACTCACTGGTGCCATTGAGACAAGTTAGACTGGCAAAATAGACATTACAATCACTGCAAACCTCTGACAAATACATGTATCCCAACAAGGCATGCATGGGTGATGGATATGTTGTTCATTTACGACACCTCTGCTGCCAAACCCTAATTCAGAAACCGGGAGTGGAAGCAATTTCCCAATTGTTATCGACTAACTCGAGGGATGCAACCACGGACAGAAAGAAAAAAGTTAGAGGGTGACGCAAGCACGGGCACAGATGAGCGTGGAACGAAGACAAGTACCCAGATCACCGCCTCGCTTAGCGGAACTGCAGTCGGAGTTCTGGGTGGCTAAGTCAGCGAGAGTGGCTCTGCCGCTCTCGATGTCGCTCTTGAACTGCATCAGCTTGGCAACAGCATCGTCGCGGGTAGTCTTACGAATAATCCTCCCTTCGGGATCCTTCCATGAAGCCGGCCGGCGGGAACCCTGGTGCTTCACCAACAAGTGCGATCCCCGAACCTTCTCCGTGGAACTCATGTCTCCACCGAAACTGAGAGACCCAACAAGCGCATGAACTCGCAGCACAACTAAATGCTCTCACGCAACGATCGATAATCCAAGAATAGCACAGAAACAGCAAGGGGAGCAACGACGAGGATGATTTTACAACGACAAGACATGCGCGAGGGAGGGGTGGATTTGCAAAGGATGCGTACCACCAGATTGAGGTGGTGCGATGGATCACACAGGGAAGCGATCGCAGGAAATATCTGCGAGTGGGGGGTAGAATGTGAGGGGGCAATGGGGGAGGAGAGGCTTCATCGCATCGCAACTGTCCATTTGCACCTCGCCCACACAGCCATCGATCCTTCATTCATCTCCCCATTCTCTCGATTCTTACAGCGCCGCTCTGACGTAGGGGCTGAGGAATTCGAGATTCTCCCCCGTCAACCATCGCTGCCAAGCTGCAAAGTGGCACCCCCCTCCCTGCCGCTGCCGCTGCCGCCGCCGCCCCTCAAACCGTCGTCGGCGGCAACGGCCGCGTGAGGGCATTCTGCTTGCACGACTTTTCCTTTCGAATGAATAAAAGAGTTCAAAAACATTGATGAGGAAAGAAGAGCTTTTGAATGGGAAAAATTGGATTTTCATCTCGTGGTTTGTACATCAACGTTTTGAATAGCACCTTCATTTAAAAATCATGTGTATAATTTTAAAAAAATAAAAATCAAATTCAAACATCTTCAATGAAGTTGATTACTGATAAGAATTTACTGAATTTGTTTACAAAATTCTTGTGTTGTTTTAATGATATGATCGATTTTAGTTCGAAGAAATCTCTATACTCTTCCGGTAAAAGTCTTTAAAAACATGATAATTGATAGCAAACGACCTCTGTGGCATATTATAAATTATTTATTTTATAATTATTCTTTTGTTACAACATAAATAAATGTAAACACAAATCGTATAGAAAGTATTACTTCTTTTTGTAATTCAATATTTTTTTACAAAAACCTCTAAATGATTTGATATTTGACTTTCCAAGATTATGCTTTTACAAGGTATTTTTCTTCATGCCTAACATCTCCAAGAAGTCAAAGATTTTAGGTTGAAATTTAAGATTACAATTGATATTTAATGTTTTAGAAACCTTGAAAAAGAATATTTTCAAATAAAATATATTAAGAAAAATATGATATATATAAATTTATTAATATTATCATATAAATATAAATAAAAAATCTTCCAAGGCACATTTTTATTTTTCTGAAAAACCATAATTTTTTTAAATAATAAAAAGAATAACAATGCAAGGACCTACATACTTTTATGTAAATACATATGTACGTAATAGTATATGTGATTTAAAATAATATGAAAAAGATGAAATTTATAAATTGTGTCTTTATTTATGCTTTAAAATTAAAAAATTAAAAAAAAGAAAAAAGAAAATCACTACATAAATTAAATTGATAAAACAACCAAAAATCAATAGAAATTTATCATTAGAGTGCTTATTACTAAAAAGCACTTTAAAAAGAAATATTTAATATATATATATATATATATATATATATATATATGTTTTATATATTAAAAAACAGGAAATTTATACAATTAAAACTTAAAATAAAAATTTAACAATATCATTACTTTAAAAAAAAAATTAGTTTTTAAAGTTGCAATGATTTCTTAGATTTTAAAAATTAGGCTTCACATATAAGAAGTTTGAAAGAAATGAAAAGGTTTCATGACATATGATTGTTGTAATTGCATCATTTTTGTGGACATCAAAATTTTAATCAAATTTTATTTTAAAACAATGAAATCTAAACTGATATAGACTTATAAATAATCAAACTTTCTATATATTGATTTAAACTTTGATTAACATACGACTTTATAATTCATTTACGATCTTTTAATTTTTAATATATTTTATGTTTATAAATACCAAATCACTTAAATAGGTTTGTTTAACATCTGTATGTAGTCCTATTATGTAAATTTAATATTTTTAAAATGAAGTATCTATGAATGAATTGAAATAAGTTTATATATCTAAAAAACCAAAAATTATTTGCATAGAGTAAAAACATTAATATTTATTTAAATTTAAGGTATATTTGTGATTATAGTTACTATTATAATAATAATCATTATTATTTATTTTATATTTTATATATAAAAATAAAGGATATTATTTATGCCACTACGATTTTTTCTACTCTTACAACTTACCACCCATTTGATATGTTTTTTTAGTTTATTTTTATTCATTAAAAGTAATATTCAAACAAATGTTTTAAAAGCTCATAATCAAAAAAACTTAATTGCTTTAAAAGGCATTAAATAAAGGTGGCATGTGCTAGATGAGGGATTGTTGTGACAATAACAAATATTGTGGTGGCATTAGCAACATCCTATGTATATGTGTGGATATATATATATATATATATATATATTATTTATATTTATAATTTTTTTATCATAATAATATTTTGTGTATTGATTAATAAAAGATAATTTTTTTATTAGAATTGAGAGTTTTTAGTTGCATAAAAATTAGTGTCAATTCAAGCTTTGATTCTTAATATTGTATTTGCACTATTTTGATTCTAAATCCAAATGCCAAATTCTAACATTTGGAATATATCATGTCACATGATACCTTATTTACAACCATAGTCCAAACTTAATTAAATGTTCACAAGTTTACATTCTTTTAAAAAAAATCACATCCAATACACACTACTATCTCTACCAATAAAGAAAGAAAGAATGAAAACACACACATATACCACTAACATTTTTAAACAAAAATTTCAATAATGAAAGATAAATAAATAATAAAAACACTAATGCATAAGTATTGCAAGTAATATATAGAATCCATCACCTAGATAGTGTAAAATAAGAATCATTGCAAATTGTAGAATCATTCAACACCAATTTCTTTACTTCATATTGAAATTTACCTCATACCATAAAGAATTTGATTGATGAGTGCAACATCATCCCACTTGATATTAGACACAAGTTGTCAAAATAGAACAAAATTTAGATAATCCACCAACATCTTATCAATGAGATAGAGAGAAAAAACAAAAAAAAAAAAAAAAAAAAAAAAAAAATTAAGAATTAAAAAAAAAAAATCAACAAGGACAACAACAACAAACAATCTTGGAACAGAATGCAAAAGCAATATTTGGGGGAAGAGGCTGGAAAACCATGAAAGAAAAACACATTGTAAAGGAGCATGAAGCATCACCCAGCAGCAGCGCCACCCTCACTCCCCCAAGTGCGTGCAGTGCCGAGTCCACTTCGTCGCGGCGCCCGATGCGTGAATTCCGAAGGCCTCGTGATGAAGTGCCATGCAAGTCGGTATCGGTCTTCGTCCGCGGCCGAACTTCCAGGGCACTTGGGCTTTCCCTCGTTGAATCTCCTGCGTGTCGGGTGCGATTGCTTGCAGCCTACGCCTTCAGTTGCACCCGATTATATATCCATTCGTCATCACTTCGCTAATTCACCCCGCTTTGCTTTGCTCTTACGCTGTTAGTCAATTCGAGTTCTCTGTCGGATCATAGGCCTACCCCTCCCTCGGCCTGCTCTCAGCTCCGTTGCATTTGTTTAGCGATTCTTGTTTTCAGTCCCTTCCAAGAAGCTGTTTTAACGCAATCTTTTAGACTTGACGGATGGGGCAGGTAGTGGCCAAGCTTCTCTCCAGCATTTTATGGCCGAGCAAGCAGCTCGCGATACTCATGCTCGGCCTTGACAACGCTGGTACGGTTCTTATACTCATTTTACTTTTTATTTTTTTGTTTATTTTTTCATCTTTATCTCATTCATGCATGTTACCATAGATAATCTAAACGAATCATAGAAGTCTGCGTGGTATATGAGCTTCGATTGTAAATTTTCAGATGTGAGTCGGGCTTGAGGCTTCATCTCATGATCAGTTGGTGTTTGGATGTGTATGTAATTACAGGTAAGACGACGCTGTTGTACAAATTGAAGCTCGGGGAAAAGGTAATCACCGTGCCGACGATTGGATTCAACGTTGAGTCCATCCAGTATAGGAATGTGAACTTCACGGTGTGGGACGTCGGGGGCCAAGACAAGATCCGGCCTCTGTGGAAGTACTACTTCGACAACGCCCAGGGGTTGATTTTCGTGGTAGATAGCAACGACAGGGAGAGACTGTTGGAAGCGCGAGACGAGCTGCAGAGATTACTGGCCGAGCCCGACCTCCGCGTTGCGAAGGTGTTGGTGTTTGCTAACAAGCAGGACCTGCCGTATGCCGCGAATGTGGCCGAAGTGACTAACAAGCTGGGACTGCTAGCGATGCGGGAACCACAATGGTTCGTGCAAGGATGCTGTGGCACCACCGGCGAAGGCCTGCACGAAGGGCTCGAGTGGCTCGCTGCGGCCCTCCGCGACGCTTCGTAAATTCTCCCTCAGCTTTCGTAAATGATCCCTCATTTGTTGCTCAGCTTCATGCACATTGACTAACATAACATGGCATCTGAAATTCTCGATGCTTAAATCTACCATTTACAACGTACTATTGCAAAGAAATGACAGCAAAGAAACCATTTTTATTTTGTGGGCTATGCTATGAATCACACACTTGCTATCAGAAGATCAAAATTCATCTCCAACACCGCTGACTCTGTTACACACACAAATCTGGCATTACTTACCCAAATTCGACCATATCACATGTACGGTCACATCCACATGGAGATACATTGTGCGGGACAATTCTTATTCCGGACCGGCGGTTAGACTATTGAGCAATATCTGGTAATAGAGCTGCGAATGGGACTTGATTACATGATTTACACACAAATTAGAATGTGTAGGCACAATCTAGCGTCTGCTTACATGAAATAGGAGACTTCGTTGGTATCTGTCGAGGTCAAAGTTGGGTCGTAGCATTGGTGGGCTCAATCTCGTGCGAACAACACCGGTTAGGTAGACTTGGATTCCTTGAGCTAATGAGGCCTTTTACCGACGAAGTCACCGGGCAGATTGTGGTTGCATAAACGTCAGACGTGACCGCCAAGAAACCCAAGTGATGATGGTCTTCAATATGTTTTGTGCAAGCATACAAAATTGGGTTTTTTGCTAGTTTGATAGCATATTGATTGTTGCAGTGAAGTAATGTTGGAATTGTGTCTAGGTTGGCGTCTAGGTTGGTTTTAATCTAAGAGCTTGCTAGGTTGAGTGAGAAGACCAAGTTTGAAGGTGAATACATTCCTAATTCAGTAACTAGTCTGCTGAACCATGTTGCTTCCTAGGTTTCATTTAAGAGATAGATGTATTCAAATTTGGTAGAACTTTTTGAAGCAATCAGTTGTATCTTGCTTCTCTATGTTATGGTTGATCTCCAAAAAGAAACAATATCCTTCTATAGAGAGTTTGGTTTTGAGATATGTTGTCTAATATGAATCTATAAAGACTAGTATGGTCAAATCTATCTTTTTTCTTGTAGAATAATTTGTAGGCAACAATTTTCTTGAAATATTGTAAGATGTGTTTGATTGGTTCTAAGTACAATATTTGAAAATATCACAAAAATTTGGAGACTAAGTTAACTACATATGTAAGATTGAGCCTTGTAATTGTCAAAAAAATTAATTTGCCAACCATTCACCAAAACTTGTAAGCATTGTTTAAAAGAGAGCAAATATTGATTAAGAGTTGAAAGGTTAGAGGTAGAAAAATATGTTTAGATTTGCAATCTTGCATCCCAAATTCATATAGAATATCAAGTGTATATTGATGTTGTGATAAGAAAATTCTAAATTTAGATAAGTTATACTTAAATATAATTATGATAAGAAAATTCTAAATTTTATACTTAAATATCTTTTGATAAATTCCAAAACTATAATGTAAAAAAAAAAATTAAATTACTATTTGAGTTACTATCTTTTTTTAAATTGCAACTCCACTTACACATTTGACTTGTGAAAAAGAAATTGAGTAGAATAATTAAGCCATTTGAATTTTGATGTCATATTAGAAAGAAAGATTCAATTTATATCTAAGTTTTAAAAAACTCTTTTTAAGATACTGAAGGTGGATATAAAACTATTTTTGATTTTCCATCCTTAAATTAATAGATAAACAGAATAAGTGAATAAAGTATTAGAGTAGTATTTGAGATGTATTATCATCTACCATTAAGATGATTGAATAACTCTTTTGCTATTGACAAAATTTGCCTATAATAATATAATATATTATTTTTATTCAAGAATCATCTTTTTATACTAATAATGATTATTATTTATAATTTAATATTATAAACTTTTCAAAATTTGATAATTATATTATAGAAGATTTGGAAATTTTTTAAATTAAATTTATATACAATAATGAAGGTACAATCAAATTAAGTTTAAAAATAATAAAGGATTAATACAAATATCTATTGCAAGGAACAACTTCAATTCTATCTTAGTAATAAGATATGATTACTTTGTCATAATATTGAGATTTTTTTTTTTTTGATTAATTAAATTTTTATAGATTTGAATCATTTTTTATTTGTAAAGAAATCAATTCAATTACATTTTTATTACATCTTTGAAGATAGTTTAGTATTCTATTCTATATATCTCTTTTTGAGCCTTAAAAGAAAGTAAATATACTAGAAAGAAGATAAATATTAATTTTTCTGTAAAAATAGAAAATAATTAATAATTTGACTCAAAAAAAAATTTAAAATTAAGGTAACACCAAAATAGATTAAAATATCATGTACATTAGTGAATTCAAATGAGAGTCATTTAAGAATGCATATGATATTGTAGATATGTGTTTGACTTTATGCATGTTTATAATTCATTGATAGATTAAAAATTTGACCAACAAGTTAGTCATGTGTCACATGATTGGGTAGCTTGTAGTACAAGATAATGACGAGGTGTGCATATAGGAAACTTGCTTTGAAAGTTAAGACACGTTTCTTGCAAATTGAAGATGTGTTTGAGGTCCTATAAGACATTGCTACATAGCTCTTAGTTGCATAGTATATATGGAAGTAAGAATGAAGCCTTCTTCATTTCTATTAATGCCTTTCTAGTCTTTAGTCTTCCTTCAAGACTTTTTAATCTTCTTGTCTTTGATAATAGTCATTTTAATTGAATATTATACCATCTTTGAATGATTTTCTAGTCTTTTCAAGTGACTTAAGAGTGTATTGATCTTTTAATTGTTTGAAATTTATGTCTTTGATACAAATATATAAAAACCAGAAACATTAATAGAAAATATAATGCATTAATCAAAATATGTGAAAATATGGAATATTCAAGGTTCTTGTGATTTGTATGTACTGTGATTTGACTAGAAGCTCTTTTTAGATAATGACACCCTTCTTCAAATGAATCTACAATTGTAAGAAGCTCTTTGTTGTAGATCTCTTAATTAATCTAGGCTGCTAAAAATTTCTTGAAATGAAAATCTACAAAGCGAGGCTTATCATTTTTTTTTCATTTGTAATAACATTATATCTATAGTAAAGTCTAATGTGTTGGTTTCTATAAAGAATGCCTTACAAAAGTCAATGCAATATAAGATTAGTGCAAAAATGAATGTTATCTTCAAGACTACAAAAGATACTTTAGCTTCTTTATTCTATTCAAGTTTATCTTTACATGTCAAATATGTAAGAGGAGCTACAACTTAAAAAAAGTTCATGATGAATATCTCATAATAATTAATAAATTTCAAAAAACATTACATATCTCTGATTATTTTTGAGATGTTTCAATCTATGATAGTCTAGAACTTCTTAGGATCCATCTTAAGGCCATCATTTGATATGTTATATTCTAAGAAGTCAACTTGAGTAGTGTAAAATATATACTTTTATATCTTGGCATATAATCATGTATCTCTAAGTTTTTTTAGCATGCAACAAACAAAAAATTTATGTTCTTTTATGTTTTTAAAATAGATTAAAATATTGTATAAATAACAAATAATAAATTATTGAAAAAATTATAAAAGACGTCATTTATTAGATATTGAAATATAACTAATACATTCATGAGTCCAAAAATCATAATAGTATATTTGAAATGTTCATACCTAGTTCAAAATGAAATATTTTATTTATTTCTTTTTTTGAAGTATATTAAGTTGTATATTTTTTGTAGCTCTATTTATGTATAGATCTTTATTTGATTGAATTGATTAAATAATCTTGAGATCAAAGATAGAAAATACCTATTCTTGATAATGATCTTATTGATTCTTTGATAGTTTATAAATATTTGCAAAGATCTACTTTTTTTTCTTCATAAATAAGTTGAAATCTTTTGCTAGAGAGTTAGAATAGTGTATGAAGTTTTTATTCAAGTTCTTGTCAATATACTTTTTGAATGCAATCAACTTGCTTTGTGATAAACTATAGATTTTTCTAAATAATGAATAAGCTCTATCTTGAAGATTAATGGAACAGTTATAAGAATGATGCTCTGAAAGAATATCAATCTTAATAATCTTAATACTTGCTTGAAATGCCATTTAAAGGTTTTTTTTTTTTTTTATATATATATATATCAAAAATATGTATAGTTTTTATTATAGAAGTTGATCCTTCTTTTGTTACATGGATAAAAGCTTTTATACCTACTAACAAGGATATGGTTGTATTAAACTTAAAGATTTTTGTGCAACTAGTAGAATCCTAGATTAAACTATGAAAAAAATCAAAGTTATGAAAAGTCTTATTTATTTGAAGATTATACTTCTTTAACTATAATAATTCCAAAATCATAAAATTGGATAGAGATCTAATGACATTGAATATTACTAAGCTATTATGATCTTTAGTTGCTACATCTAATGAATTTTTTTTTATAAGTAACATCTTTATAAGATAATAAACAAACATTTATGATTTCTACATGCACAAGTTTATTTTTTTTAGTTAAAGATATTTCTTGTTTTTTAATAAAAGTTTCATCTATAAAATAAAGTAAGGCTTGTAAATCTAAGAATGCAAAGACTTTGTGATTTTTTAGTTCCAAAAAAACTTCTATTATAAAAGTAGGTGAAAGATTTAAAAATAGAATAAGATCTTTACTAGATATTATAAAAGACTTTAGCTCTACAATTCCTATTATAATTGAAGAAATTAATTTTTTAACTCATAATTCTCTTTGACAACTATGCTTCTCATTTTTTAGTTGTGTTACTTTTTTGGATAATATTGAGCTATGTGCTTAGATTCTCTATAATATAAGTATAAATATTTTTAAGAGGGTTGAGTTTTTTTTAGGTCAATAAGAAGCTTGAAATATACCATGTCAATTTGAATAGATTTTGGTCTTGATAGATAAACTTTTGTGAACTTAAAGATTGTGAAAATGGCTTGATTTGTACTTCTTCAATCAAATCTTTGTTGTTGGTATCTTTTAAATAGTCAATTATTGTATGCAATGGCTTGAGTAATAAATTCATCTAATAATCCTATTCTTAATATTTTCAATAGTAAATCTTTGATGTTATTTTTTAATCTATATTAAAATTGATTGATTAAATATTATTCATTCTAATTTATATTGTAAGATTTTTTTTTAAAAAATTGTAATATATATATATATATATTAATTGAATGTGATTCTTATAGTAAAGATACAAGTTTGGTCTCTATTACCTTTTCTCAATTACTTTCTTCAAAAGTGGCTATAAATACTTGTAAGAATGAAGTCAAATCATAGAAAAAATGTGAATTTTTTTTCATCAAAGATGCAAACTAAGAAAAAGCATTCCAAAAAAGAAGTACACCTATGAATCCAACTTAAATAAATCCAAAATATATTGACTTTGCAAGATATATATCTTAACTTGCAAAACAAATTTTTTTATATATGTACTACATAGTTAGCTTATTCCACAACCTACAAATATATGGTTAACTTGTTGACAAAGTTTCTAGCCTATCAATCAGTTATAAATACATATAAAATCAAAATAATATCTATAAAGCTTCTAGGAAGATTTTTTTTAAAAATATTATAAAATAAATCTATTTTTATTTATTTCTATTTAATTATATAGATAAATATTAAAGTAAACATATATGTTCATGATATTATCCTCTTTTTTTGGGATGAATTCTACGAAGAGCAATCATTATATGTTAAAAAAATCTAAGCAATAGTGAATTGTATTTGCTACATATTTTAATCTTTATTTTCTTCAAAGATGGTTCATAGGTCTTCTCAATTATCAATAGTGACCTATACTAGGGTAGAAAGACCAT